TACATGCATCAATGTTTTCTGAAACGAAATTGGTCAACCCCCCCACCCCCACCCCATAACGAAATTATTCCGTTTTGTTAAAAAAATTCGATAATTATGGACTACCCCTTAATTACCGTAAAGTACCGTTGATCCGCCCTCTCTCTAATTCCTGCCTGCTGTCGATTTTCTACCTGTGAAGCGACTTTGGCGTATACAACGAAATATGATGTTGAACCGACGCATGCACTGCTGTACACAATACGTGCCAATCCAGGATGAAAATGTGCACAATCCAGCACCGAGTCTGATTCCCTACGTTGTTGTACATCGTACTGCACTTGACAGCCTTGATCTAATTCCCGCCCCCAGCCGAAAATCCATCTGGGAAGCGACATGGCATGGGGGGGGGGGGGGGGCGGATCAACGGTACTTTACGGTATTAATAAACCCCGTCAGCAGCAATAATAAGGATACTAGAGTCCTATATGTCACATCTCCATTTTCTCAGAAGTCTTACCCCTTCGTGGAGAATTAAAATGCCGTGTCCGGACAGCAACCTCCTCACTAAATCTACTGAAGCCCATTGGAGTCAGCGCTCGAACACGGGTGCGGTAGGTAGTTCCTGGAGCTAAGCCAGTGACGATGACGTTTATATCCTCGGGTTCCAAGACAAAAGAGGAGGTTGTGAACGAAACGTTCTCCCAGGTGCCAGTACCATCAGGTATTGCCTGTACTTGGTACGACAAGACCGCGATGTTCTGGTACATAGCTCTTTCCCAACTGATAACCACCATGGTCGCTTCTACCGAAATGTTTTTCACTGGATGAATCCCGGGTGCATCGAGACCATCTGCAACAGTACAGAGGCAGATAACTCTACTCAGTTGTTTATTATGACATACTTTTGAACTCGGATATTGAGCCAATGCAGGGGCGTCGGACACACTATCGTCACTACGGTACTAACCGTACCACCCTTTGTCCCAGATACTCCGTGAATCAATGAAAGGCACTGATTTACATTCGAAATTTCGAATTTTTTCAGAGAAGCCAAGAGTATACTGTGCTTCAGGTGCCTGACTTTACCATGCGAAAATATCTTCCGACGCCCCAGCAATTAGATTATGGATGAAAGACAGGAAGGACCGAATGTTACGAGTTGTGACCAAAACAAAGTTGGAGCTAGGTGTCAGGTCGTTGAATGTCTCAGTACTCTGCGTCAGTCGTGTGCCTTGTTGTTGCACTTGCTGACTGTTTATGATCCGGTTACTTTGGTGGACAGTTGGTCATAACACGTAACATTTGGTCCTTCCTTTATTTTATCCATAATTATGACATTCATGTACAGTAAACCTCCCCAGATCTGGATGTCCCTAATACGGGCACTTCCATCTACTTTCTGACCCAGCTAGAGTCACAAAATGGCTTTTCAACGAAAACAGCCCCAAAACAGTCATATTGCATATTTTCTTGCATGCAGTAAGTATGCAAGTTCTGACTTTCTGGCAATTCCTAATTACGGGCAGTGCTCGGTCCCAACCTGCCCGGATCTGGGGAGTTACGGGCAGTGCTCGGTCCCAACCTGTCCGGATTAGGGGAGTTACGGGCAATGCTCGGTCCCAACCTGCCCGGATGTGGGGAGTTACGGGCAATGCTCGGTCCCAACCTGCCCTGATCTGGGGAGTTACGGGCAATGCTCGGTCCCGACCTGCCCGGATGTGGGGAGTTACGGGCAGTGCTCGGTCCCAAACTGCCCGGATCCGGGTAGTTTTACTGTGCAGTTTTCGTGAAGACAGAGAAGAAATCAAGCAATATACAAGTGTATTGAGCAGGGAGTGGTGCTTTCGTGCAGGTTTGCCGAGTGGAAGGTTTGATGGACTTCTCGTGTGCTCTGGATGGCAGTCGCGAGTCAGTCAAGTGAGAATTCAAGTCGGCAGAAAAAGCGCGAGCTCCCGCGTAGGGAGCAACACACAATTCCCCAAGTATCGCCGAAGTCGCACCAAACTCTTCTTCGCAATAAAAAAGTTCACTTATTACAGGTTGTGGACTTGGTCCAAAAAAATCTTTTTCCGCTTTCCGCATTTGGCAGGTCTGTGTGTGGTGTTGAAATGTTTCAATGGCTGCGTAGTGGTGCATGAAATTTCGAAAAGAAAAGTCCTGTCCTGACAGGATTCGGCTTAGCATTGGGTCCAGCAAAAAAGAAAAAAGTCTCTTGTGTAAATGCAATGTAAGTGACTTGCTGTCTAGAACTGCTTTTGACTGCATACCAGGGCAATCCCCATGACAGACTTAGCTGTATGCACACAGAGTACTGCATACCAGGGCAATCCCCATGACAGACTTAGCTGTATGCACACAGAGTACTGCATACCAGGGCAATTCCCATGACAGACTTAGCTGTATGCACACAGAGTACTGCATACCAGGGCAATCCCCATGACAGACTTAGCTGTACGCATACAGAGTACAACACAGTGGAGCAGGGCTAGTGTGTCACGAACTCTCAGTTTCGTGCTCAGATCAGTGCAATCATCAGGCAGCACCAAAAGTACTGCTGGCCATGCCAGTATAATTAGATGCAAGGAGAAATGCTGAGATGCTGGTGGTTTTGCTGTGCTTATACGTACATGTGTTTGCGGAGACTCAGGGCTAATGCTTGTGGAGAATGCATAAATACGAACTACAAAACAAATCGACCAGTAGTTCTGAGCTCCGCTGCCGAGACCTATTAAGGTCGAAACAGCTAGCTGCCTGGCGGTTGGGTAAATACAGGATGCAGATATGCCAGTCTCCCTACAGTCCTCAGACCTTGCGTTTTGTTCTTGTTTTAAAAGCACTTACCTGTAATGACCCTATATGGGTGAGTAGTGCTGCCCGTGCCCACATCGTTGTCGGCAGTAAGTTGAAAAAGATAGGCTGTGTCAAATTTAAAAACGTCATCCAGCAGAATCGTGTAATTGGTGAAAAGTGGAAGCGGTGTCGGATAAACTGTCCAGGGAAGGTTCATAACGTCCTTGTAACGCAGCACAATCCCGGTCAGATTACAACCGCCATCATCAAGACCAGTCCAGCTAATTCTGATTCTCCTCCTCATGCCAGCCACGACAGCTGTGAAATTCTGAGCACGACCAGGCACTGTGAGTTGTGCAACATCGAATACAAGAGGCCAGCAGCACCAGCAGAACCAGCAGCAGCACCAGCAGCACCAGCAGCAGCAGCAGCAGCAGCGGCAGCAGCAACAACAACAACCAGAAAAGGCTTCTCGTCAAAAAAATGCACTTTAGGGGTCGTCCACAATTATTGAACTTTTTTCACGAAACGAAATAATTTCGTTATGGGGTGGGAGGGGGTTGACCAATTTCGTTTCAGAAAAGTTCGATACATGCACATGGCCATAGGAGAAGTGACACACTAGCGACTTTTGTTGTATATGCATGTATATGTCAAAAATTTTACGTTCTGAGGGGGAGGGAGGGAGGGGTTGGGTCTAAACTAAAATAATTCGTTTGGTGAAAAAAGTTCGATATTTACGGACGGCCCCTTACTTGGCATGATTTGCTTCCACGATTCACCTTTGTTGTAACCCCTTCATAATTTTGTTAGGCACTCTGCTCACACCCGGTTATAAGTCCGGTGGTAAGTCGTATGAAACTACATGTGCAGTAGGTATTGGTTATAGTGTGGGTGTTTGAAAAACGACTTTCTATTCTTATTTCCCATATTTCTTACACACGATACATCAAGTGTGTCATATCATAATGCGTGTGCGCAGGGGCAGGAAGATCATCGTACGTGCAACGTAGTGCTACTGTGCATGCGGCTGGTCATAGTCCCATAGGCTTACCATGTGGCTATCCAACATGAGTTACATGACCACAACAGTTGAACCTGCAGCACTACGACGCAACGCGTGTCAGATCAGAACTGCATTGGACAGATGTTATAACTACAGGCGATACACTTCGTACTAATCTGGCATTTTTCGCTACACAAAGTCCATTCTTAGGACCGATATAGTCTACTATGGAATAAAATTGCTTGTAAGAATAAAAGTGCACTTGAAACCCATGTTATGATTATGAAAACATGAGAGTTCATTCTTGTAGGCAGTATATTCTTTTACACGACCACGCTATAACCGATACGCACTGCACTTGTTGTTGTAATCAACTCGTCCATCAGTTGCTCATAACCTTTTTTGCTTTTGTTAGTGCCGCATTCTTGTGAAGAACATGCAGTTTTCCACATTAGCAGTGACATGCCCATACATTCTGGATGTGGCTACACAATAATTTTGTAAAATTGAGTTCAGCGGAGTGGAATATCAATAAGATGTGCCCCACTTCGTGCACAGGAACGTGGACCATAGTACCCGCGGCACTTCTTATTCGGACGTACTTCAATACGGAGAGCAACGTACCTATGCCCCGGACAAGGCTCAAACTAAGCAAGTGTATGCCTGAGTACTTTTGGGGTTAGGCCCACATTACTGTAAAACGGCCAATTTTAGCGCCTGTGACGTTTTATTTATCAGAAAGAAAAGGACCGAGGAACTACAAGTTACGCTATGATGTCCACCAACACCGCCAGTTACTAAACAATCAGCTCATGCGATAACATTGCACGGCACTGACCGACGGTATTGACGTTCTACAACTAGTTGGCTAACGCCTCTAGCACATCTAGCTCCAGCATTTCCTTCTTATAAATTAATCCTTGGCTCTCCATCCGAGTCCATTCCTGCGATGTTTTAGTTAGCCATTTTAGCGAAAGGAGTGTTTTCGCTAAAGCTTTTCTGCGCAAATTGAAATTTTGCATGTACAGTACAGTAGTAGTCATCACTTCTGTGAGCTCTGAAGCACTGGTCACTAAAATATTTCATAGCGAATTGGTCCTGATCCAGAAAACACCAAAATGTTTACCCGCCAAAATTAGCCGTTCTGCGGTATGTAGATTTATGTAGATTTGAGTGCGTCTATTTCCATCGCCTCGGTTCATCGCAGTCTTTCGCTTTGTCAAATAGCTCTCAGACAATCTGAAAAATGCTTTGTTGGCTGGAAAGCTTCATTGAGACGAATTCAGCCAGTTACTGTGAGCTCTGCTTAGAAGTGCCAAGGCCAGCGCAGCTAGCTATCAGGAGATTAAGTCAAGTAACTTTGTAGTAGGAGAAAGCTCTTTAAAACGTATGGGAAATTCAGCTCCATTACAGTCCATTCATCGGAAACTGGCCCGCTGGCTTTTGAAAGTCGGATTGGGGCGGAATTGAGGAGCAAAAACCCACTTTAAATCTCACAAATCTGGGTTTTGGATCTGCTTCTCCATACATTTTGCCATGGCATACCTGTCCTAATTTTGAATTTAGAAGAATTCACACACATCAGAATAGCTGCTCTCGTTCCTTACCTTCACATAAAGCTGGTCTCACAAACTCAAAGCTGCTACCCGTGGAATGCCCATCACCAAAGGTGGCATTGAACAAGTATTTGGAGCTCTTCTTCAGCTCCGAGATAATGAAATCTCCCTTAATGTCGCCAGCATTCACAGAGACATTCTTCTGTAGTGAGGTGCCTGACTGGTCTGGTTGTTGGTAGGACAGCAGAACATATCGCAATGCACCATGGTGTTGCCTGAACATGGAGACTGATAACTGCACAGAACAACAGCACAAGTAAACACAGACAGTGTACAGAATCTATACTCAGAGTTTTTAAACTTCACTTCTCAACTCCAAAAACGGTCTCTTCACTGCGATTCAAACCAAAATTAAAATTATAATTAACATTACACCAAGTTTTTGGCCCTGGCCCAACATCAGGGTAATGAATGACAGGAGTTTGCGGACAATTAGAACAGTTTATACTCAGAGCGTTGCATCATTCAGCCCTCGGTGGCACCACCTTGCTCTGGACTAGTAAAGCTTTTAAAATATACACCATTTGTATGTGTACGGCTTACATCGGAGACTATTTTCTTTGTATAGGCTCTGCATGGGTGTGCACCTCCATCCTCGCCATGGCAGCCATATGGGCTTGCCTCCAGAGCGGAGGTCGAAAGGAGCAAATAGAGAAGATCACATGCATGCATAACCCATGGCATTTCCAAGTAACTTTTTTATTTATTATTTATTTACCGGTATTTTACTTCACCAAAATGTTCAGGTAATTCATGCCTTCTCACTGATCGTCATGCAGCTGGTTCTCACAGGATGATGAAAATAGTTTATATGATTTTCATGATCCTGTGAGAACCGGCCGTCACAGCCGGTAACGGACCTATGTCCGCCTTTAGCGAAGCAAAGATTAACTTTCTCTTGTGTCAACCATTAGTCCACAGCAGAACACAGTGCAACAACAACAACAACAATAACAACAACAACAACAACAACAACAACAACAACAACAACAACAACAACAACAACAACAACAACAACAACAACAACAACAACAACAACAACAACAACAACAACAACAACAACAACAACAACAACAACAACAACAACAACAACAACAACAACAACAACAACAGCCCTTCATTACTTTAATTGCCTGCCCACCCAGCTTCGCGAAATCCCTTCTCGTACTCCCTTCAAATCCGAGATATCCCTGCTGTTGCACAACTCTGTATGCTCGTGTAGCGACCACCCCTGCCCGTACACTTAAGTACGCAACTCTGTATGCTCGTGTGGCGACCACCCCTGCCCGTACACTTAAGTAGTCATTAACCCCTAGGCCCTGCCCACCCAATTCTTCCTCACTCTTTCTCCTTTCTTACACTATTATCTCTTATTGGCCCAGGGATCGATTTATCCGGGTTCGCATCGCAGTTTGCGAATCAAAATTCACAGGCTGCGATTCGCTTTTCGTTTTTTATCGCCCAAAACTGCGATGCACTACAAAGACCAGTTGTGTGCAGTCTACATGCGACTGTTGTACACACTACTGACTAGGGAGTAGTATTTTACTACTCCAACCAACTGGCCTGTCCTGCTCAGTCCGCGCGCGGGTCGCGGATCGCGCTCTTTCGATTTTGGACACTGCACTAGCACTGGTCGTACAGGACTGCAGTCTTCTGAAGTTTTGTACACGGCGGTGACTTTTCCTGATGTTCTCCTTTCTTCGTTCACTTTCAAGCTCAGTTTGTTTCTGTTCGACAAGGCAAAGTTGAAGTAGACGGTTCTTAGTCTCATGTAGCCAACATGTCAGTGAATCTGATCAGTGATTCACTGTCCAGAAGAGGGACAAAGAACTGGACGCGCAAGGAATGTCGATTCGTTTCGATGAAGAAAAGGAGAAAAGCGAAATTCGATGCGCTTTGCCCGAAATGTCACGATCGTTTGAGCGCTTTCCTGAGGTTTCTTTGTCGAAGGAATCAGTGGAACTGCCCTGTTGAAGGACATTGTGTTGTGAAGAACTTGAAGTCGGATGGACGCTGAACATGTAACGTGCCCAAGTGAAAACTCTAACGTAAATATTCAGGTCGAACATTCGCTTGGAAAAGCAAATAGCAACTGCAGCTATT